AACGACAACAGGTGTTTGGCTGAAACTCGAAGGATTGTATATGACAAAATCCTTGGTGAATCGTTTGTACTTGAAGCAAGCTTTGTATTCATTCAATATACATGAAGATAAAGCATTGACGGGGTAGCTGGATACGTTCAACAAGCTTATTCTTGATCATGAAAATATTGATGTTACCATCAATGATGAAGATCAAGCGTTGTTATTGTTATGTTCTTTACCTAAGTTTCATGCTCACTTCAAAGAAACCCTCTTGTATGGAATAGAGTCCCTAACCTTTGAAGAATTTTAAGCATCCTTGTATTTGAAGGATTTGAACAAAAGAAAGGAGCAGAAACCCTCACCATCAGTTGGCGAAGGGTTGTCCATATAGGGGAAATCGTCGAAGAGAGATGGTAGGTTTGAGAAGAAGAAAGGTAAAAGTCAGCAGAAGTCTTTTGGTGGTGATAATTCTGGTATGAAGTGTTATAATTGTAAGAAGAAGGGTCACACAAGAAATATGTGCCCTGGGCGCCTGAATAATCATAGAGGTAAGGACAATGGCAATGCATCTATTGTGCAAGATGATTATGAATTATTTGATGTCCTTGTGGTGTCGAGCAGCAACTCTTGTAAATAGTGGATTATGGATTCTAGATGTACTTGACATATGACTCCAAACAAGAATGTTTAAAGAACTATGTGATCAAGATAGTGGATCAGTGCTGCTAGGAAATAATAAAGATTGCAAGATTGCAGGTATTGGATTTGTAAGATTCAAGCTCCATGATGAGTCAATAAGGCTATTGATTGGGGTTAGGTATGTACTTGACCTTAAAAGGAATTTAATTTCTCTTGGTGAATTCGACAAGAAAGGATATGTCTTAAAAGGAGAGCAAGGTATCTTGAAAGTCATGAAGGGGTTGAAGGAAGTCTTGCGAGGCGTGAAGAAACAAGGCTTGTATACCCTTGAGGATGAGGTTGTAAGTGGTTCACCAGATTTTGCATCCACGAAACTTATGTCGAAGACAAAACTATGGCACATGAGATTAGGCCATGTCAGCGAAATTTTCCTGGTCGAATTAGGGAAACAAAATCTGATAGGTGGTGACAAAGTTGAGAAGTTGGAGTTTTATGAACCTTGTGTATTTGGAAAATCCTGTAGGGCGAATTTTAACAAAGGTAAACAAAGAACACATCGATCCCTTTATTACATCCATGCCGATCTTTAGGGGCCTACAAGGAATCCTTCACATGCAGGTGTAAGGTATTTTTTATCCATAGATGATGACTATTCCAGAAAATTATGGATTCATTTAGAAGACTAAGGATGAAACTTTTGAGAATTTCAAAAGTTGGAAGGTTCTGGTCAAAACTCAAACTGGCAGAAAGGTTAAGGGGTTGAGAACCGACAATGACCTTGAGTTCTGCAATGAAGCTTTCGACAGTTACTGTGTTGAGTATGGGATTGTAAGGCATAAGACTGTAGCAGGTACTCCTCAATAAAATGGCTTAGCTGAGAGATTCAATCGAACAATCCTTGAAAGGGTTAGATGCATGTTAGTTAGTGCTTGATTGAAGAAGGTGTTTTGGGTGGAAGTTGTTTCGACAGCAGCTTATCTGATAAATAGATGTCTGTCGGCTGCCTTGGGAATGAAGACACCTAAAGAAGTTTGGTCAGGTCAACCACTTGATCTCGACAAATTGAGAGTATTTGGTTGTTTAGCCTATGCTCATATTAGGCAGGATAAGGTCGAACCTAGAGCTCTGAGATGCATGCTCCTTGGATATCCTGAGGGAGTCAAGGGTTATAGGTTGTGGTGCCTAGAACTAGGTCACAGAAGATGTATCACAAATCGTGATGTAGTTTTCAATAAAGTCGAGATGGCGTTCAAAAAAACTGGTGATGTTGTTCGAAGTGTAGAAATCTCTGAAGAGGAGTTGGAACAGGTAGAGATTCTTGTTAAGGTGGAGCATATTGATGCTGAAGTGTATAACCCAGATGAAGTCGAAGAAGAAGAGCAAGATACTGAAGAGACTGAGGAAACTGTCGATGACTACCTACTGGTAAGAGATAGGTCGAGAAGAGTCACCAAGCCACCTCAGAGACTTGGTTATGCAAATCTTATAGCTTTTGTCTTAATCTATGCAAGTGAGGTACTCAAGGAAGAACCTAGAGATTATAAGGAAGTTATAAGGAGTCGAAATAAGACAATGGCGAAAATCCATGGATGACAAGATGAAATATCTTCATGATAATAACACCTGGGAGCTGATTGAGAAACCTACAGGAGCAAGGTTAGTCAGTTGTAAGTGGATTTTCAAGGTCAAGGAAGGAATCAAAGGAGTGATGCCGAAACTCTTTAAGGCAAGGCTAGTTGCTAGGGGGTTCAATAAAAAAGAAGGTGTCGACTTCAATGATGTGTTCTCACCTATTGTAAAGCATAGATCCATTAGAATGTTGTTGGCTATGGTGGCGAAGTTTGACTTGGAACTTGATCAAATGGATATGAAGAAAATATTTCTGTTTGGTAACCTAGACGAAATGATCTTAATGCATCAACCTGAAAGGTATGCAGAAAAGGATAAGAAAGATTATGTGTGCAAGTTGAATAGGTCTTTGTATGGCTTGAAACAATATCCTAGACAGTGGAACAGAAGATTCGACAAGTTCATGGCACACATTAGTTTCGCTAGGTGCCTGTTCGACCACTATGTTTACTTCAGATTTCGACCTGGAAATTCACTTGTTATTTTGTTGCTTTGTATGGATGATATCCTCGTAGGTAGCAATAGTGTCAATGATGTAATAGAGGTCAAGGCTAAACTCAGCAAGGAGTATGAAATGAAGGATCTGGGAGTTGCAACCATGATTCTTGGGATTGACATTCAGAGAGATAGAAAGCAGTCGAAGTTTTGCTTATCTCAAGAGACATACCTATAGAAGCTTCTCGACAAGTTTGGTATGCTGAATTCAAAGCCTGTTGTGACTCCAACAAATTCTCAGTTTAAGTTAAGTATTACTCAAAGTCCGAGTACTGAAGCTGAAAGAACCTATATGAGTAGCATTGCATATGCTAGTGTAGTAGGTTCTTTGATGTATGCTATTGTATGTACGAGGCCAGACATAGTGTATAGTGTGACCCTTGTAAGTAGGTATATGGCCAATCCTAGAAAGGCGCACTAGCAAGCTGTAAAGTGGATTCTCAAGTACATAAATGGCTCTTTGAAAAGAGTTTTGATTTATGGTGGAGCTTGTGATGGTGATAGCATAGTCGAAATCGAAGGATTTGTCGACTCTGATTATGCAGGTTGTATGGACTCCACAAAGTTCATTTCTGGATATGTGTTCACAATGTTTGGCACAACAATCAGTTGTAAAGCAAAACTTCAGAAGGTTGTTGCATTATCAACCACTAAAGTAGAATATATTGCCCTCACTGAAGCTGTGAAAGAAGCATTGTGGCTTGAAGGTTTTGCAAAAGAGCTGAAACTTTAAGGTCGAAGTATCACTGTTAAATGTGATAGTTAAAGTGTAATACACCTGTCGAAGAACTCAACCTATCATGAGCAAACCAAGCACATCGATGTAAGATTGCACTTCGTCAAAGAGATAATTGAGCGTGGTGAAGTCCAGGTGTTGAAGGTTTCGACTGATGACAATGCTGCTAATATGATCATCAAGACGTTGCAAGTTTTTCCATTGTATGCAGTTGATAAAGCTGCATGATGAAAGCTAGTTTATTCCCTGTTTTTGTAGAGTTAGATTCAAGGTGGAGATTTATAAGATTTTGGGTTGAACTCTAGTTTTGTCGAGGAATAACTTTCATGTGTTTCGACAAGAGACAAGCATGAAGTTGAAGATGGGTCGCATGTCGTAGTCGAATGATACATATTGTAGTCGAATTCTGTTCTAATATGTATTGTCGAAATGTTTGTCGAATTGAGCCTTGTGTTAATGATCCAATTGTTTAGTTAGCTTGGATTGTAAGTTAACTAGTTAGTCTATATATAGGCTAGATCACTCAGGTTGTTGAGTGAGGCCAATTGTGTTATTCACGTGTAATCATTTGTAATATTGAGAAAGTGAATAGTATAACAATTTGTCATAATCCTTCTTATTCTTTTTTCTTTATCCTTTCTTCTTTTTCTCTTTATTCTAACCGTTTCATTGTTTATCTAAAAACTCAACTTTTTAATCTTTATTTATTGAAATGTATCGTTTGTGATCATAACAGTAAGTAATAAAAGGTATAAATTTAATTTCTAAAACATTTTGGTTCAAAGTATATATCTAAACTAACTTTTGTGATTGTTCTTAGTTTAAATGTGATGATCAATCCCATTGTACTTTAAGATTTCTAGGAAGTCCTAACGTTGGTATGAGAATTTAAGGTTTCTCAGAAGTCGTACAAGAGTATCATTAACATGGCAGGAGAGCATAAACGAAAAATGGTTATTATTATAAAAAGATGTTGAGCTATTCAAAAATGATACAATCTATATATATTGAAAGCCTTGATATTTTATGTTAAGATATGATGTTTAAATTAACTTAATTTTGTGGTTGTTGATAGATCAATGTGATATTCACCCATTATTTTAAGTTACTTCAAAAATTCTAATAATAGTTATAAAATTAATTGATGTTAGAACTGTCTTCGAATCAGATTAATCGATCTAATAGGCCGAATATTCGTGGTGGAAAAAAAAAATGATAATAATTTTGTAAATTAGCTAGCTAAACTCAAGATTATACATTTTTACTAATAAAAGACAGTTCATTAAAAGAGGAAACAAATACAAAGAAGATTAAAAAAAAAAAAGTAAAATAAATTCTTGGATTCCTTCCTCCAATTCAATTCTCAATAACCTTTTCCATTGGATTTTGCCCCTTTTTGTTGTGTATATGATGCTCAAGAAACAAGCCTCAACCAAGTCTTTACATGGAATATGCCATCACCACACGTGAATCTCTTAAAATCATATCCATCATTTGATTTCTTCATTTCTTCATAAATTCATAGTCCCATTAAAATGTAGTACACAAGAGTAATGGGCAATGCTATCAACATTCCAAAAATGACACTGAATTTTCACCAAAAAAATTCATTGGTTAGCATTAAAAGAGAAAGAAAATTGAAGGGTAGGAAGAGAAAATTCTGAATTATTGAATACTCACCCTGTGCTTAGAATATCAGGATGTACATTATATTCTTTTGCAAACACAAATGGGACAATTCCTTGGGGAAGAGCTGCCTGTTGTTTTTTGGTAATTTTATTCCAAATAGGACAGACAAACAAACATGTCAAATGTGGTTTCAATTGTTTTTTTTTTTTGGGTACAAATACACTCACAAACACAACAAATGTATAGATCCTTAAAACATTTCAAAAAATTTTAATATGAGTTATGGGTTTTTTTACATATCGAAAAAAATGTTAATATTTGCAAAGATACCATATTTAACCATTAAATTCCAAGCAATGAAAAAACTTTTTTTTATATATTAAAAGATGAATAAAGTAACTTATCTTGACAGATTATGTTAAAAGTGAATAATAGTATAACATAAAATAAAAAAAGAAAAGGAATTTTTTGAAGGGTATGCAAAATTGAATATTGTATTGGTTATGTAAAAAGGGAACAAAAGAACAGTAGAGAGAGAAAAAGAAAAAAGAATTAACCTGCACAATTGCAACATGAAAAAGAACACCTTTGAGTCCAACAGCAAATGAAGCAGCTGCCATCACAGCTGGACCTGTAAGGAATCTCACAGCCATAGCAAAAGCTGCTATGGAATTTCCACATGCTATGATTTTTGGTTGCAATGCCATGAATAAACCTGTCAAAAGTCGCATGCTTTTTTTCAATTACTATCATCATCACTTCCACTAGTGCTACTAACTTTCAAAAATAACCACTTATTACTAATTATCATGACTTTTTTTTTTAATTGAATATCTGATGTATCTGATATAACTGACCGAGACTGAACATGGCCATGCCGAGTCCTGCATCTGACAATATAGCTATAGATTTTGCTATTATGGCCGGCATTACAATATTCCATCTGCAATAAAAACAAGACAAAAATATTTAATCGAAACCGAACTATTTAGATTTCAACTGGTTATTGTTTGACTGTGTGAATGCGTGTAATACCTGAATGAAACTAGAGACCAAACGAGACCGATTAAGCTTGAGTAAGTGTTTGGATTTCTGATAAGTTTTCTCCAAACCATAATCAATATAAGCCTTGTCATAACACTAGCTGGTGGCATAACTTTTGATTTTCCATCTCCAATTTTTTCACCTTGATCATGTTGATTATTCATTTCCCTTTCCATTCCTCTATTGCCAAAGCTGAATTCATCTTTCTCCAAATAATCCTCTTGAGCTTCTCTATGACCCTCCACTGATTAATCAAACATAAAAAAAAATAAGCACTTAAAAAAATACTGTTAAATTGACTTTTTTAATCTTATATATTTAACATAAATATTTGTATATTTGTGATACATTTAAACAGTTATAGTTAATCAAAACAGCTTATAACTCACTTGAAAATAACTTGACTTTATTTTATCTCTTATTACAGAAACAGCTTATATACATAAGCACTTATATAATAATCAATTATGTTATACATGTTTAAACTATTTATTCAAACATGTCCTATCAAATCAAGGTAAGAACTATTATAACAACAAGTTATACATCATAAGAGCTTATATTATAAACACTTAAAATAAGCTATTCATCCAAACAGAACTTTACTAACCTTTCCCTGGAGACACATTCAATTTAACTTCTTTCTGATCATGAGAACCAAATTCATGTCCACCAAAAACATCAGAAACAGGTGAAGCACTAGAACTCCAAACAAACATATGAAGATCATCTTGTTTCTGTTGTTGATTTTGATTCTGACCATTACTTCTCTTAACATTGACATTAGAACCAATATTTTTATTAGTAGGAGAAAACATTCCCGGATTAGGCGCCGGATAATGTTTCAACTTCTTCGCATTCGAAGCATCTTCTTCGTAATTAGAAGGTCTCGGAGTAACACCTCTCGACGCCGATAAACCGTAGTTATTAACATCAGAAGCATTAAAGTTGGAGTTTCTTCCACCACCCATCATAGAATAAAAATCAGTATGGTTAAAACTGGAGCCTCTCGGCGTAGGATTTCTCGACGATTGCAGCGAGTAAATCTCTGCGTTAGTAAGGTTAGAAGGCCTAGGAGTGTTGGAAGAAAGACCTTGTGATCTTCTAGAGTAAATATCTGATCTTGAAGCGTTTGATTTTCTGACTGTAACATGAAGTTTACCATCTTCTTTGATTTCAGCATCGGTTTCTAAGGGTGTTCTACCGTCTAACGACATGACATCAGAATCAACATGGATTGAAACAATGGAACCGGCAGTGTCGGGAAACTGTTCAGAAATCAACAACCTTGCTCCTCTGAACTCAAACATGAAAAGCATCATAGTATACCAGATTATACATTGAAGAACAACGATTTGTACCATTAAACTACCTGAGAAATCGCCGTACATTCCTTTGAGTAAAGGGATTCCCATGACCAAGGTGTTTGGTAAAGTGGAGAGTGAAAAGAGAGTTATTGTCCATTCTAGAGAACCCCTTTTGGAGAAATTGCTCCAAATGAAGAGAAGGGTTAGGATCATGATTTTTTGAAGTGTGTCTGCGGCTAAGAATCTTAGGTTCATTTTGTAAGGATTGTTGGAAGCTATGAAATGGAATGAGAGAAGTGGAACAGCGAAAAGTGCTACAAAACGGTTGATTCCAGAACATTGATCAGGTGAGAATATTTTCCACCATTTCACTGATCCATAAGCTAAGATCATGGCAACATAGAGTGGCACCATTGCTGTCATGACATGGTAGAAATCTAGTAGAGTTATCATTTTTGTGTGTGAGGTTTGAAAAAGGTTTGATTTTTATGTGTTAGAGAGAAAAACTAGTGGAAAGAGAATAAAGGGTTGAAGGAGTTTTGGTGTTTGTGTTAGTGTTATGAGAGATGGAGATAGAGATGTTGGTTGTGATGATGAAAAGAGATGTGTAGTAGATATAGGGAAATGAGAAAGAGAGCATGTGGTTTATTTGGATTTTTGAGGTAGTGGGGTGGTGTTGTGAGTATGTAGAATATAGCAAATATTTTTTGGGTTTTGAGAGAAGCTACCAAATTTGCATTTGCAGTCTCCAAGGCATAGAGAGGATGGCAAAGGTTTTTGCTTTTTTATAATAAGAAAAAAAATGAAGGGTAAATAGTGTCTTTTATTTTTGAATAGTTAAACTATTTTATTTTAGTTTTCATTTGTATCACAAATTTCTAAAATTATATTTAAACATTATTTTGTTGATTATTTTGATCTTCATGTATTTGGTAGATGATCTAAAATCAATCTTTCTAACTTATGTGTTGTTACTAAATGAGAATTTAGTAATGAAGAATGTATTTACATTGACTATGTAATTTTAGATTATGTGTATTTAAGATTGTTCTAAAAAAATTTAGGACTTAGAATCTTCGATTTATTGCAATACATTTTGACGGTCTTCATGTAAGTATGACAATAGAGCAGGGTGGGATACAAACAATTTTTACCTCTCACATACCTAAACTTGAATCATCGAACAATCATCATTCTCCCTCAAGATCCTCATGGATAGATAATTAAAACCTAACTTATCCCAAATGGAGTTGAGTTAGATTTGAAACAGATATCCCTCTCGCCTCCATTTATATAATAGAATTAATTTTTTTAATAGAAATATTTGATTTTTCCAACATCAAATTAGATTATAAATAATGAAACAAAACAAACTCGAAAAACTTCATTCATATATTTTAAATATTTCAAATTTATACTTTATTAGAGCTAACACGAATGGATCACCATGGATAAGTGCTACGTAGAAATTCACATGAATCTGCCCTGACTTTGACGGGAAAATTTATCCCTTAATAAGAGCATATTTTTTCCATCAAATTCAGATATATTCAAATGATTCTATACAGATAATGACTATGTTGCCATGCCTATCTCCAAGTTAAAGGAGTACTTATAAAATAGATTCATCTCAAAAATACAAAATATGAGTACCTTACTCCTGAAGGGGTGTTAAATGGGATGACGTTAATGTGTTCAATTTTTTGTTTGATGTAATGATTTTCAACACTTGATTAGTCTGGATTGAAATAAAATGTTGAGTAATAACTATTTAACAATAAAATTTTAATAGTGAAATGTTTTTATTATAATATTTGAATGTATCAAAACTTTAAAAATATATCTAAATATAATTTTTGTTAATTATTTTCATCTTCTAGCATGACTTTAGTTACTAAAATTTGTGATCTAATTGTATTCTTTTATTGGTCAATTTATTCTGTAAATTTTTTTGGCTTGAATTAAATTTTGATCTTCTATTTATTTCATTTATAAAATTAATTCTTTTATTTTAAATTTAAATAGTTTTAATTTTTTATATTTTTGTACTCAAAACTAGTTATATGTGTATTTTTTAGTGACATGACGATGTATCAAGTTTCACAAAAACTTATGAGGTATCACATATATTTTGAATTTGAAATAAAAATACTAATTAAATAAATTAGTTAAAATAGAAAAAATCAAAATTATCACTAAGCCTATATTAGAACTATAGAAATAGTGTTTCACATACTACCAAAATGGCTATTTGCTCAAAATAAATTACATTTTAAATTTTTAATACAATATGATTTTACTATTATCAAATTGTATCATTTATTAAATGTTAGTTGAATCACTCGCAAATTAATTTTGTTATATTTTTCATTGATGTAATGATGCATACTCTAATACTTTTTTTATAAATGTAATTTAATAAAAACATCATTGTACTATAAAAGAAATTGTTATTCTCTCTTTTATTTATTTATTTTTAATCTATACTAAAATTTCAAATAAATGCATTATTATGGGACAGATGGATTATTTTTGTTTGGAAGTTTTGTTGGTTTGCTTTTTGTTTTGAAGTGTGTTTGGATTATGGGTTTGGGAAATGAATGGGACTTGTTGAGAGTTATTTGTTGTGGCTATCTCTTTCTATACACCTTCTATGGGACCTATATTTGTCACAAAAAGCATAGGAAAAGTATTTTGGGTTGAGGTGGGGATGTCTCCTTAAGAACATGTTTTTGAGAATGCCTTTTAGTTTTGTAAAGAGTCATTCTCTTTTTCTCTGCATCCATGGTAACTTTATCAAAAAGAAAAACAAATATATGAACACCTAATTCACATCATATGACTTTAGTCATGTTTATAATTATAAATGTAAATCATGAATATAATATTTGATCTTATTTTTCATAGTTTTTGAAAACGGACTCTTAAAGTCTCTAGGATCTATCCAACTTGGGTAAATTTTCAAAATATCATTAAAAAATTATATGAATTAACAAGATATGTTTGTAGGATTATTTTTTATAAGTATTTGAAATAATAAATTGACTTTGACTTTATGTTTGGCCGTAAATCCTAATTCAACTGACAAAAATCAATATTAATAGGTTGGTTATAAATTCTATAGATGAACAATGACTCTCATAATTATGTATATCAGTTTTTAACGATTATGACCACTTCGTCTACTGATAGAAAAAACTGATTTCATATCTTTTTCTCATAATTGTGATTTCATACTTTGTAGCTTCTCATGTATTCAAGATGATTGAGTATGTGGAGAACTTTAAAAAGTTTGGTTTTCCCCTAAAAAAAGAGCTTGTCTTTGGGTGAGAATACGGGGATGAAATGGTCTAGAAGGGTTGTTGAATACACTGGTCCCTTTATTTTGGATCATGCGCATACCACTGTGCTAAAATAAATTGTTGTTAGTCATGGTGCAACTATATTTCCTTATAGTATAGAGCCCTTAGGGGCTACACCTAGCCCACTTATCTCAGCTTAGGTGCCATGAGTTAGGATGTTAAGCCCATCAAACCGCACCAGTGATGTTGGATAAATAAATCCAGCAATCTCCCCCGGTGACAATTAGGGGGATTTGAATCAATGATCTTACTCTAATACCAAATTTTAGATCAAGTTCCTACCTTTGCGCTACAAGAAATTACTATTAGTAAGGGCCCAACTATATTTCCTTATCGTATAAAGCCCTCAAAGGTTGTACCTAGCCCATCTAGCCTATCCTAGGTGCCATGGGTTAGAATGTTAAGCCTATTGAATTGCACTAGTGATGCTGGATAAATAAATCCAACACCTCATACCTTTTTTCAAAATCTTTTTCTTTTACAAAATCAAAGTTTAAAGTGTGGAAGTAAAACGTAGTATGAGGAAGCAAAATATAGCAGATGAGTTCAAGAATTATATGTTTCATCGTCTTCCTAATACGAATGATTTGATAGAGATAGATAAAATTGCCTTAATAAGAAATTAATATAATTCTTAGAGTTAATACAATACTAATCAGAGTATAGAATGATCAATGAACTAGTTGCATTGTAGACCTAACTTATATGATAAAATAATATAAGTAGGATCTAAATCTAGATGACATTCTAAAGATGAACAAAATCTAATACATATGATATGATACATAAAATTAAAAGAGATATGGAAGGAAAATATACACCTAATATATAGTGGTTCATCAATTTGTCCTTGTTATACCTACTCCATTCTTCAATGGTTTTTCCATTGGAAATAGTAACATATTCCGCTATTTTAATGATAATGATACAATTATTTTGGTGTAATAGATTATCATCAAACTGAATATTAAAAGCCCAATGCTTTAGCCATCACAGATATAAAATGATATCCACTTCTATCGAAGCAGATTACTCAACTGCCAATACTCAAGATCTTCAATAACATTGATCCAACTATCTTGCTTGACACAATAATCTTACTCTAAGATTCAATTTTGAAGAAACCTTTACTCAAATCTGATGAAGTCTTGTCTGAGCGATTATTCTAACCAAGAATGATTGGACAACTCCTAACATTGTTTTGCGACAATCTTTACTTAGTTCCACCAAAGTTTTTCTTGGAGTATAGAGATACTATTTTCTTTCTAGGTAAGAACCACCAAATACCTTAGAAAAAGTGATCCTTTATCCTAATACCACAATAAAACTTCTCAAAAAACATTGGACTCCCTATTGTACCTTGAATCTACCTCTTACACTTAATCTTTAGATTTCAGCCCCATAATAATTGTTTATTGGTACAAGGTTGAAGTTGATGAATTATATCCAAAGAGTCTCACATAACACAACTACATACTCTCATAACACTAACATTTTAGGAAGATTTTCACAAGGTTAAATCAAGGAAAATGTTTTTGTGAATGGAGAAAACTCTCATGGCTTGTCTCAAGTTTCTCGACAAATGGGTAATAAGTTTCTTGGTGAATATCTTTATCACTCTCAACTAATCATAAATAATGTTTATTAAAAATGATCATCAATCTTCTTAAAAAGAGACACTATTGGGTTAAATAGAGGCAAGAGGTTTGGCCCAAAAAATATGAAAGAAAGAAAAAATGATTAGAATCAAATCATGAGGTTATAATTTGTATCAAAGAAATTATGATTTGAATCAAAAGTATAATTTGAATCATGTTCTATTCCTGTGATTTGAGTCACACAAGGTATAATTCGAATCAAACTTAGTTTTGAAAAGGATATTATTTGCATGATTCGAGTCAAAATTCCTATGATTCGAGTCAAGGAGTGTTGTGATTTGAATCACACACATCCTTATTCAAATCAAGTTAATAGAGCCAAATTCTAAATTTCCAGTGAATGTTTGATTCGAGTCACAACAAGTATGATTTGAATCAAACCTCACAAAAGCCTTGATTTAAGTATTCTAACTTGTGATTTCACGTTGCACTC